TGTGGTTCCATATGAATTTTAGAACTATTTGTTCCAGTTCATTAAAGAATGCTGTCAGTATTTTGATAGGGATTGCATTGAATCTGTAGATTGCTTAGGCAGGATGGCCATTTTGATAATATTAATTCTTCCTACCCAAGAGCATGGGATAAATTTCCATTTATCTTTAATTTCTCTTAAGAGTGTCTTGTAGTGTTCACGGTATAGGTCTTTCATTTCCTTGGTTAGGTTTATTCCTAGGTATTTTATTCTTTTTGATGTAATTGTGAATGGAATTGTTTTCCTGATTTCTCTTTCTGCTAGTTCATTGTTAGTGTATAGGAAAGCCACAGATTTCTATATCTTAATTTTGTACCCTGCAATTTTGCTGAATGAGGTTACTCTTTTACATAAGAGGTTAAAAGTGGCCTACTGGGTGAGACTTCAGCAAGATGTAGAAAAAAAGAAGTGTTAATCAGGGTTTTAGGCCAAGTTAATATGTTAACTTGGAGTGCCCAGTATACTTACAAACCAAAAGCAAACAGATTTGGAACCTCACTGTCTGCTACATTTATACACAAGAAAAAAAACCGTATGAGACCAGATTCTCTAATGAACAATAACCTGTATGCTGACTTTTTCTAATTAATAGAACTTTAAAAATAGTGTAGTTGTCACTCAGTGCCCCAGTGAAGGACTTCTGATTTTACTCAGTCCAGAAGCACAGAAGACCAGGTCCTTCCATTTCTAGAGGGCTGCTCAGGGTGGGCTGCGGGCCCTGGAGGAGACAGGCATGAGCTTGGAGGGCCAAGTATTGTCCTATGGTGTTAACAGGCCCACTACATCCTTCTGCTCTCGAGACAGGCCGTTTCCCGGCAGCTAGGGGAGAGATATCATGCAGGGCAGAGGTCACCCAGGGCTGAGCTCTGTGACTGTCACTTAGCCCAGCCCACATGCAGCCAGGAAAGCCCCAGGAGACAGAGCTGCACCCACGTCTGGGGGGAGCAGCTCACCTCCAGGGAAGACAGAGGCTGGTTTATTCTCTATTTTTTCCTTTCTTCACTAATTTTGTCACCACTGTCCCAGTTTTGTTCTTTCTCTATCGTCATCCCCCACCCACCCCTTCTGTCTTCTCACTAAACCAGAACAGCTAAGATGCAAAGCTTTCTGTCCTCAGCAGGGCTGTGTGGCAGTGGGTGTGTGGCAGGCAGCGCCTGGGGCGGCAGGTGCCAGAGTCCAGGGCAGCATCTGGGCTTGTTCCTCTCTGGTCAGGGCACTAAACCGCAAGTCTCCCAAGATCTATCCTTATAAAATCTCTTTCT